ATAAAGAGCAAATTCCAAATATACGTAGACGCCAATATACTGGTAATACTTGCTATACAAGCTCCCCAAGCGAGAACCCTGATTTTGAAAACCCTAGACCCTAGAAATACCTGTCTATCTCTTTCCAAAGACCTTATATACACGCTATATAGGTCCTTTGAAGCCCTGATCTCTATGAACCACTCTATATTCCCAGTTTCGTATTCTTTTCCGTTGATGCTCCTTTGTTGAGGGCGATATCCCTCACCAGAACAGATCAGCTCCTTGAATAGATTCTCCACAACTTTGGTGAACTTCACCAAAAATGGCACCAACGTTGTGTGGGATGCATCTCGGGAGACCGTGAATAAGTAGGTTAATGTGGTTTAGGCAGCCCTAAACCCTCAACCCCCAAGGCCCTAAACCCGAAACCCTAGACCCTAAACTCTAGAACTCTAAACCCCGAACCCCTAAAACCTAATCCCCAACCGGGTTTTCGGGACGCTCCATCTGTGGATATGAGAAGAAGTTGTTTTTGCACACGCAGGTCCGATCTCTAAACACAGAAGCCTTTCCAGCAGGGTTTTATGGGGATGATACATGGAAGGTCGGCTTGGTGAAAAAAACTTTTTCCCATCTTCCTCCCTCAAGCCCTTAGCCTAAGCCCTAGAATCTCTAACTGTAGACTGGTCATCTAATCCTCAAACCTAAACCCTAAACCTTAGGCCCTGGACCATAGACCCCAAACCCAACCCCCCCAAACCCTTAACCCTAAACCCTAAATCCTAAATCGCCTAAACCAATAGCGGACAGGTTTCCGCTCAGAAAGCGCAGCTCGAAGCCATGGAGACAGAGCTCCGAGGCTTTGTAGAGGCTCTGGGTTTAGGGTTTAGGGTTTAGGGTTAGGACTTATAGGGACAAGGGAGGTAGGGTCTTAGGGTTTAGGGCTCGAGTGCTAAAGGATACTGTCAGTTTCAGCGACGACAAAGGACCCCTAAGAGTGGACATGAGTTTAGTACAGCCCCTAATATAGTCCCTAATAAGAAACCCAGGGACCCATGTGCATGAAATTATGTAGGGGGACGTATAGGGCAATATGGGGCTATAGGCCTAAGGGTTTTGGATTACGGGTTCAAGGTTTAAGGGTTCAGGGTTTAGGATTTCTATATGACACCTGGTATACAATTCTACCATACCTCGAGTGTGCAGGTACAGAGGGTCATGCGGGATTTCGCGCATGGCTACACGTCTTAGGCTTCTTTAGATTCCCATTGTAACCTGCTGTAGCCCAAACCCCATTAAAGGGACCTTAACACCCTTACCCTATCCTACAGAAGCCCCAAAATCCCTACAGTCACTTAAGGAGAACTGTTTGCTGTGGCCCGAACTGGGAGTTTTTGTGAAAGGCTTTTCAGGTCCCTCTCCTACACGCTAACAGGGTTTAGGATTTAGGGGCAACAAGCCCGATATGAACAGTGCACGAGTTTTTGTTGGACACTTGTCGGGCTCCATGTTAGTTTGGGGCAGTGTCGGGATGAGGGTTTAGCCGTTTTGTTAGCATTGATACCTGGCTGGGTATTCTGTCGCTGGCTGGTGTCACTAACTTGAACTTTCGTCGAGCGATTCCAGCCATCAGCGCTCGCAATGTCGAGTTTGGGTACATTCTGAGTTTAGGGTGCGCGATATGATGGGTTCTGTCGAGTTTGGTTTTGGATTTTCATCGGGCCTCTAACATGGCTCCTAGTATTTGTCCTCTGAGAAGGGTCCAAAGTATATAGTTATCATAAACTCCCCAAGACCTAAACAACGCTTCACTAAAAAAACAACACTTCACTGGGTGGGCCCCTGGGATATTTAATATTTTCCCTAATGGCTTTATTAAGGGACCCTATATACTAATATTTGTCAAAGAGTTTTGGGGGCCAACCCAGTTCATGGTATACGGAAGACCCCTAGGGTGAGGGTGTGCCATGCCGGCCTCGGGGCAAGAACGGGGCAGAAACGCCAAAAGCACTACTACCACCGCAAGCGCCAGCAGTGCCACATTTTCTTACGGGTGGTTAGTAGGGAATAAGAGAATAGAATCCCCATATGATATCTTCCCTTATTGCCTGCTAAGCACCTGTAAGTTGTTGACAGCCCCTAGCTTGCATGCTTCTTGCCCTAGGATTTCACAAATCAGGCTGGGGCCCAGCTACAAAAGGGAGCTTGTTCATAAGGGTTTACCCTGAACCCTAAACCTTAAACCCTAAACGCTCAGGACTTTAAACCATGAAGACCTTACATAACCCTAAATCATAAGCCATAAACCCAAAACCCTGAACCCCTAAACTAGACACTTTGCCCCGCAGTAACATGGAGCCCCACCGAGACGGCTTTGAGAAGGATGGCCGTTTTTATGGTCTGGGTTTAGGGCATAGGGAGTGTAATCCCTACATATCCCCATACATACTCCATCTACAGTCCTATAGTATAGAACCCCCACATAATCCCTCTAGTCCTAGAGTTCCTACATATATATATATATATATGTATGTACATATATGTATATAGATATGCCCTAAACCCCAGCAACCTGGATCCAACCCTCTCCTTCTTGATATCTATATCCCCCTACAGGCTCAGATCTACTCCCTCAAGAACCCTCATAGAACCCCTTTAGTTCCTGTGACTAGCGTTCCCTGAATTCTAAACGTGAAGCCTTAGGCTTAGACCCTCTGGGTAGGCCCCCGGGATGTTTTATATCTTCTAATTTAAATGGGGATCCTACATAGAACTATTTTCTATTGTTTTTATAGGGGCCAACCCAGCCCGAGGCCTTAAGCCCTAAACAAAATATACTGTCAGCTCTTGACTAGCGTACCGTTTGTTTGGACAATGCTTGGATGCAGCTTGTTTCGCTGCTATTCTACCACAGGGTTTAGGGCTTAGGGTGTGGGGTTTATACTAAGCCCTAAAAAAGGAATGGACTGTGTAGGATTTAGCGTTTAGAGCCAACCCCCTAACACCTAAACCCCTACTACTACTGTCCGAAGTTCATATCCCACTAAGGGACCAGTTTCGGGTTAACCACTACAAACAAGGAGCTCCAATGCTTGCAGGGTTGAAGGCTTAGTTCTAGACCCTGAACCATGAAACCCCAGCCGAAACTGTTAGCGTGCAGGGCTGAAGTTCTAGCAGCCCTGCACGCTAAACAACCCACCCTAAATCTTAAGCCCAAGAGAGAAGCTTCCCGTTTCCTTTTCCACTCCTTAAACTTCGTGAGACGGAAGCCGGCCGGGAGATGGATCCAGAAACCGCGCTGGCCTCCTTGGACCCTGATCGGCGACAGGCATCGGACATGAGCTATAGTCTAAACACCTCAAAGTGGGTAGAGGGAACTACCATAGGTGTATGAAGGGCAATACTAGGAGTTTAGACTATAATCCCCTATAATCCCCTATACAATCCCAGTTTCCATTTCATTTTGCATGTTCTTTTCCATTTGATTCTCCATTAGCTCACCTGGTTTGAAGGGTTCAGGGCTCATATAACCCATTATAGTAGTTTCCATTTTCTTGTCCATTATCCCCATATAGCCCCAATATAACCCCTATAGTGGTTGGAAAGGTTCAGGATTCAGAGGTTTTGATCGCGGTTCGGGGTTCAGGCTTGCGGCAGTTAAAGCTGGTAATGTCAAGGTGCAGGTCTGATTGGTTTGTGGCTTAGGGTTGAGGCTTTAGGCTTTAGGGTTTAGGGTTTAGGCTTTAGGGTTTAGGGTGGGATTAGCGTTCATTTGGGCAAGGCGGCTGGGAGATTGCAAGGGTTCAGGGCGCATCTGGATTCAAGCTTCGGGCTCGGCTTTAGATACAGCTGCTACGCACATGGTCATGGCACCCTGGGTCATTGTTGATTTGTTTTGCTTGTCTTGTGGTTCTTCTTATGAAGCCCTAAACCCTAAACCCTAAATCCTAAACCTTAAATCCTAAACCCTAAATCCTAAACCCTAAATCCTAGACCCTAAACCCTAGACCCTCATGAAAATCCCAACAGTAAATCACACAAAGCAGGGTTTTTATCAGCCCTCGAGCCTACACCCAAACCCGGTGAGCTAATGGAGAATCAAATGGAAAAGAAAATGGAAAATGAAATGGAAACCCTAAGTCCCTTTAAGGGGTATATCGGGATATTATAGGGGTAATAATGGAAAAGAAAATGGAAAATGAAATGGAAACCCTAGGTCCCTTAAAAGGGGTATATAGGGATATATAGGGTTATTACACCCAATAATGGAGAATCAAATGGAAAAGAAAATGGAAAATGAAATGGAAACTGGGATTATATAGGGGTGATTTGTGTAGTATTTTATCATGATTCAATGATGTGTTGTTGGGGCCCTAGCCTGACGACATACTCGAAATCTCATGGATGCAACCATGGAAGGATGCAGCTGGTGGCTACTGCACAGAACAAGTAACCCGATGGGCTTCAAGTCACACATAGTGGCGGCTTAGCTGCCCAAAGCCAATACCCTGTAACGGCAATCATTTGGAATAGTCATCTTGCAGGAGGGTTGTCCGACTGAACGGTCAGTAGTTGCGCTTGCGGCTGCCCAGTCAGAAGCTTGCACTGTATGACTATTAAACACTACTATTATTCCCACTATCACTACCACGGCTACTATGACTACTATTCCTTTTTCCTTTGCTATTAACTTTATCGTTTTCAGCGAGAACGCCTGGAATGGAAGCCGCTCCTTCCAGTCTGCTTCATAGACATGCTAACCACATCACGGTAATAGTAGTAGTGATAGTTCTAATAATGCAGAGTTCCATAATAGTACTTGCAATCACACCAGTTACTGTATCATGACCCTTATCAGGGTAATCTAGAAAAGTTTAAAATCCCAATCTAAGGCCATCTGTTACTATTCCCTATATAACCCACCATTTATGGTCAGGTCGGGTTTTGTCGTTTTAAATTGCCCAGTAACTGTATCATGACCCTTATATACAGACTCCAGCAAGAAAATGCTCAGTAGCCTCCACGGCCTTGTTTTGATCCCAGGACCTGCCGGAGTTTGGGGTTTAGGGTTTAGGGGTTCAGTGGTTTAGTGTTCAAGGGTTTAGGGTTTAAGGGTTTAGGGTTAAGGGTTTTAGGGGATATGGGTTTAAGGTTAAGGGTTTAGGGTTTAAGGGTTTAGGGTTTTTGGGGTTATGAGTTTAAGGTTAAGGGTTTAGGGTTAAGGGTTTTAGGGTTTTTAGGGTTATGGGTTTAAGGTTCAGGGTTTAAGGTTAAGGGTTAAGGGTTTTTGGGGTCATGGGTTTAAGGTTAAGCGTTTAGGGTTTTAGGGTTGTTGGGGCTTGGGGTTATGGGTTTAAGGTTAAGGGTTAAGGGTTTTAGGGTTTTTGGGGTCATGGGTTTAAGGTTAAGGGTTTAGGGTTAAGCGTTTTAGGGTTTTTGGGGGGTATGGGCCTTGGAATAGGAGTTTTTGGGGGGATGGTAGCTTGAATTACTACGTCAAGAGAGCCCCTAAGCAAGCAACAGATGAGGACTTCAAGCCGCAAGGATAAATAACTTTTGTCAGGCCCTTGCGTGTCATGGATTGAAGTTGTGAAAAGATGTGTAGGGGCCTCCCCCAAATCGCGGATTTGACGGTGGCCTATGGAATTTCGTTGAAATTGGCTTACAAGAAAGAATGGCAAAGCGTGTCTGATTCTCATACGCGGGAAAAGTAGGGAATAAAGGGACAACTATGTGTATATATATATATAATGCAGGAATGAGATAAGAACTTTATTCCATTACCAAAGCCTAAACCTTAAGCCCTTATCCCGTCATTCCCTACTAGCCCGCAGCAACTGAAGTCCTGAGAGTGTTGTCTGCCTAGCGCAAATGCCATGGAAGAACAACGGCTGCATTTGGCGTTCCATAGTGGCTCCATATACAGTATGGCCCGAGGAAACCTAATAGGGACCAAAGCTCTATGCTGTAAATCTACACCCTTAGCCATCATGTAGTCAACCTACCAAATCCCCAATGCTCAATCCAAGAAAGCATGAACAGCCTCGCCTCATCTGCTGCTAGCTCCCCCTCGCGATAGAGGTCAAGGACCTGCAAAGCGTTAAAGTCAAGACTTGTGGGCTTTTCAGTCTAGGCTCCCCAGTAACCCATTAATAACAAGGGTACCCTTTTTCCTACTGTTCAGCTCTAAATGCCTCACTTTGAAAGATATTGAGGAAGGTACTACAATACGAAAAGGGCCCTTCAGCAAAAAGCAATCTGCATCTCCCGATTGTCTCACTAGTCCCTTCTGACCCCTCAACCTTCTGTTTGACAGGAGCAGGCCGCTCCTGAGGGTGGCCGGGAACGCTCAAAAAACACGTTGGTTTCAACAAGCTTTCGCATCCCAAGGGCATAGGGTTTAGGGTTTAGGATTTTGGGATGCACTTGCTGCACTTCTGCCTCCTTTGTCTGCGACCATGAGACCTGAGTGAGGCGTCTTTGGTTCAGGAATTCAGACAGGCGAGTAACCCAGACCCCTGATTAATAAACCCCCTCCCGTTAATAGGGGTTATAATCGGGATCCTAAAATTTAGGCCCTACAAGGAGGGGATTCATCAATCATGGGTCTACAGTAAACCCCAAACCCTAAATAGTAGTTTCCTTTTTCTTCTCCATTCAAAATATCCCCTACATAACCCCTATATCACTATAGGTCTACATTAAGGAGCAGGGGACTTGGGCTATTTCTTGGGTTGAACCGTCTGCAGTTGTGTCCCCGAGGATGAGCTCTGCCCCCTTAGTGGCTGTGCAAGAATAAGCCGATTTATGCGTTTAGTAATATAGCGGGAATATGAGGATTATATAAGGATAATGGAAAAGAAAATGGAAACTACTATTTGGGGTTTAGGGTTAAGGGTTTAATCCAGACCCATGATTAACAAATCCCGTCCTTTCAAGGGCCTGAACATTAGGATCCCTATTGCAATCCCTATTAAAGGGGAGTGTTTATTAATCAGGGGTCTACTTTACATTAGGCTCCTGAGTATGCTCCCTGGACATCTGGAACGGATGTCAGAAAGGTCCTTGCGAGTGAGCTGAGGCCTGTCTTTTTGGGTGGGTACGTGGCCCGGAGTACCGCGGTGCAACCCATACTAATTAAGTACCATACTGGATTGCTGCCAAGGAACTTAGAGAAGGTTCTTGTCATGTGGGCACATGGGGTTCACCCACAATGGGAACTGAGTTTTGAGGTCCCTACCAACAACCCTCATGCAAGCTCTCAAGCCCCGATGCCTTACACAGGGCTTCTCTCTCAGTCCCCAGCAAACGACCATCTGAAAAGCAAGGTCCACAAAGTTGCAAACCAGTTGAACGCCTTCTCTCAACTTAGGAGATCTTAAAACCCCGAAGCCGTTCTCGGAGGTTCCTTTGACTTTGTAAGACGTACCACAAAACAATATCTGCTGTTTCCAATAGCCCCTCTTGTCAGCACTGCTGGCCCCATAACCTCCACTAGTACATAGACGTACTGGAGCAAGTGAAGAGAACCTTTCAAGTACACCCTCAAACCCAGAAGCAGTGGTTACAACCTAAGCCTCAGGCAGCCTCTAGTAGGGACTTGGGCGGGTAGCCCTTCACCATGAAATCCTTGCGGCCCCAGGCGTGCAAGGGGCTCTGCGTTTCAGTGTTTAGGTACGGATTCATGAGCTCAGGGGGGTGTCGAACGGAACTTTGTCTTGTGCCGTCGGATTATACTGAGGGATTGCATGTACCATTGAAAGGCCTAGAGCTGGGCCGCTGGTGCTAGTGCAGCATATGAAGCAGCAGGGGGGCTACTTGGTGCACATTTCGTCGCTGCTATGCACAACTTAAGGCGCCTGTGCTAGCCCTGAATGTATGTGCCGCTTGAAAGTTCCCACTTTGCGGCTATTGCAAGACAGCCGTGCAAAAAATCAGGGTTGCAGCCATGCAAAGCCCGAAGTCTCGATGATGACAACTTTGCTATAAGGGAACTACATGGACTGAGTCGGGATTCCGACTGTTGACCAGAATCGAATTGCAACGACTCAGCAAGGGCTGTTTTCTCACAAGTGAAGGCCTCTTATCTACATATCCTTGAACTAATCCCCGCTGGAAGGACTTTACGAAGGGGGCAGATTCTCAGAGTCTCTGTTTGTGGATGATTTGGGGGCTGCTGCAGGCAGAGCTCCTGGACTTGTAGTTCACAGGTGGACCTAGATTCACGGCAGGGAGCCGGCAGTGACCTGCTGGCGGCATGTATGTACATTTACATTTGCGGAAACGAATGTACAACTACTGCAACGGACGACCGCTGACAATGTACAGCTAGCTGCGTCTTCCTCTTGTTGTGGAGCTTTTTCCTTCCTTACCCGCCGCGGCCGCCTCTTTGGAGATTGGAGGATTGAAAGGCAACAAGTATTGAAGACCTTGACGCAAGGTGTGGCGAGATTTTGGACAGGTGCAAGCGTAGTTCGAAAGTGGTTCGGAAGTGGTTCGGGGCGGTTCGGGTGTGGGCTGAGTAGATTTTTGACCAAGATGGCATACGTGTTGTGTTTTATTTCCCAAGTCTAACAAAACCAGAGAAAATTCACAGTTTTGACAGGAATCAGCCGCGCGGTAGGGCCCAAGGATTTTTTTTTAGCGCAAAGCAGTTTGTGTCATGCAAATTTGCCCAAGTAGGAAGGCCAAGCAGGGCCTGAAAGGTTCCTCAGAAATCCCAGTGGAAAAAATGGCCCGGGAATTGTATGGGCCTCCCCGAAAAAGCACTCAGCGATGGTGGCAACCTGGAAGCAACGAGCAGCTACTGTGGACGGAGGAAATCTTGCGCCTCCGTTTCTACAGCATACCCTAGGCCTTGGTTCCGAAATGGTGCAAGATTTCTCCCACCCGCCGTTACCCCCCGTAAAGGACCCCTCCCTAGTTCCAGAGAAGCTCCTGCTATTTTTGGGCTGGTATGTGCAGGGTTCAAACTGCAAAGCCCAACCCTAAATAAGGTGAGAAATGGTGAGAAGCACGGGATCGCCAAACTGCTGCATCTCCCCAATCCATGAAGACCTTCCACAAGTGTTAGCCTCCCAATGTCGTAAACTGACCCATCCCGTTCAACTTCTTGCTCACTACCTGCTGTCTCCCTTGTCTGAAGCGCGTAGAGTAAATGGCGGGCACGCAAGGAGAAAGCCATGAAGGCACAAACCCAAAGCTGCGCATGCATGAGTTGAGAAGGTCGGCGCGCCTCACCCATGCCCATGCTCCTTGGGAATATAAAGGAGAAGGAAAGCTCGAGGGGTTTTATGGGAGGACAAAGCGGACGTGTGGGGTTCAGAAAGAGGGTCTGTTCACAGGAAGTTTGGGCTGTCCTGCTGCCAATCCTCAAGTCTTGCTTATCCAACAACCTCTCAATGTCTGTTTCAGGGGAAGCTCACGAAAGCTTTGGGTTGCGGTATGGACTGAACATAAGCACCCGCTGGCATCTCTAGCGCATCTGGGCAGATTGACTTTACTCTAGGTTGCAGAGGCTTTCACCATTTTTGCTCGTCTTGTCCAGCCTTCACGTCGTGCGTGGCATTACAGAAGCTCAAGCGGAATAGGGTTCACGGTTTCGCGTAATGGCTGAAGCTGAAACCATTGAGCACGAAGCCTGCAACTCATTTGGAGCAAATACTCACTTCATCCTGGGAACGCGAACATCTAAACGAGTAACACCTTTTGGGTGGTTAAGCTCAGCAAGCATACATTCTTGATAAAAGCTACTATGCCCCAAGGCAGCATATGGTCCTACTACATATTAGGGTCTGTAGTATCCCAAATAAAATACTTCTAAGATGGAGTTCTGAGCCTTCTGGGGCAGCAAAAAGCGTGAACCTGATAACTGCCCACGTAGAAGTGCCGCTGATTGGCTCAAGGAGTTTTAGTTATGGGTCCCCCTTGTATGGCACCCCCTATTGGTGCTTGCGGGTAGTGGGGGAGGGAACATCAGCGGTATTGCGAGGTGCTTATCAGCCTCATTATAGGAATGATAAGAATTCCCTAAACAATGTCCTCCAGCGAGCCTACATTCCTTCAAGAGCGCCTCCTGTCTCGTTTCACCGCTGCCCAACCCGGGTAGAATGCAGCAAGCTTAGGACGTAAGAGACCTCGTTGATTTATGCTGGTCCCCGGGATTGTAACGTAGCGCGGCCACTTCATCGGGGTTTAAGGAAGATCACACGGCGCTGGGGATCCTTCTTTGCTGCCAGCTTGGTGCTAGCAAAGACCCGCGGCAAGTAGATCTGCAACATCAAAGACTACGTGAGCACTGAACAACTTGCATGCCCAGCATTACAGTATCTCCACTTCCAACGTTCAGCAGGCAGCCCAAAACCTCAATTTTGCATGTTCTTTTCTTCTGGAGATGTGACATCACATTCCGAAGAAAATTATCAGACACGACAGGACATGAGGGATTTGAACAATATTGTAAAGGAAGACACCCCCGTCTCGCAAAATCCTCAAATTCCATCGCATTTCAATAATTTCCCGCACATACATCCTTCCCTGAACCCTAACCCCCATACACCCTAAGCCAAACCTTATACCCTAAACCTGAAACCACGCAGTGTCTCTGAGGCCCAAGGCTTGCCCCACGCGATAGCATTCCTCTCCAATCTCCACCAGGACCTGCAGGTTTTGGGCCCCTTACATCAGTACTTTTAAAGGGGATACAGGGGTTATGTAGGGGTTATATAGGGTTTAGCGCTCAGGGTTTTGGGCCCCTTGCATCAGTACCTGAACCCCTCAAAGTATGTCGGATAATGGCCTTTAATGGGTTCTGGACCATTACTTTACCTACTTTTTGGGTCCAGATACGTTTCAGGGGGCTATAAGGGTTAAAAAGGGGTTATCTAGGGCTTAGGCTTTTGGCGGACCCTTAGAGCTTTCGGGCTCAGGGTTTTCGAGGCTTGGGGTCAGTAAGCGCGCTCCCCACACCAGCCTCCGTCATCTTACGCCCGGTTCTGCCAAGCGGTCTAGATGATAGATTCATATCATTGTAAATCTGGTGTTGTTTAGGTCCCTTGTAATGTGGAATCCCGAAGCCCTGAACCCCAAAAACCCACAAAACATCTTGCGCATATGACCTGTGGGAGCCATGGATGCAACCCGAGAAATGCAAAAGACAGCCAAAGTCTTGGCAACCCTGTTTTAGGGTTTAGGGTTTAGGTATCTTGGAGTATCAGGGATGATAAAAGACTACTAAGTCTAGTGCCGTACACGTCTTTACTGTCCGTATAAACAAAACGAGCAGCTCCTGTATTATCTTGCCCCAATCCTGTACCCTGACGGGTATTCTTCACAAAGCTCTGAGGCCTCCACCTGCATGCTAAACCTTTAGGGTTTAGGGTTTATAGACACTCAAATACTTTAAACTTTCTCAACCCTACATACTTCCTTAAACCCTGTGAACTCTGTACCTATACAAGCCATGGTTTGTACTCATGGTCTCCCCATTGCGAACAGATTTAGCCCACCCACCAAAAATTCTGCGGAAACCCATGCAAACTCACAATAACAAATGAGAAAGCCATACGCTGTATTATATTGAGCCCAAAACCATCAACTATCAGCCTTAAACAATGCACCTTGAACCAAAACGTCTTAACCGAACCTAAACCCTAAAACAGTCTACCTTGATGCCTACAAATCTTATACTTGAATCCCTAATCCGTAAATTCCAAACCAAATGCAGGAAGCCCTGAACCTTAAACCTCACACCCTGAAGCCTAACCCCTAAAACCATGCTAAATATAACCCTCAGCCCTGTAAATCCTAAACCCTAAACCCCAAATTCTTCAGGGTCCCTTAATAAGGCTAACATCCTAAATCCTGAACCCCAAACCCTTCAGGGTCCCTTAATAAGGCTAACCTTGGCTGTAGCTTGTATCTGAAGCCCGGGCCGGTGCTGCTCTTCCGGTTTGCGAACGATCACGAGAAGCGTGGCCTTCAAACCGGAGGTTAAAGGGTTTAGGGTTTGGGGTTCTGGGTTGCTGATAAGGAACTTAAATTAAGTTACCATAATGAGTATATATAGTAAATAATAGGGTTTCCCCAATATGGTAACTTAATTTAAGTTCCTTAACAGCAACCCAGTAATGTTTGAGGGGAAGGGTTTAGGGTTCAGGGCTTAGGCTTGGCCCCAAAGGAATCTTGTGAGATACACAGGGACATACAAACACACACGTAGGAACATAAAACGATATGTAGTGATTCGGTTGATACTAAAAGTTCTGCTTGATGTTCGTGTACTATAGCACCATAATCTCCCAGGTAGAAGATACTGGGGAAGATACTGGGGCTAGCACAGGGTTCGTAGTGTCAACCGTATCTATAGGGAGGGTACAGGATAATTACCCTCCCTCAAAAACACATGGAAGCCTTTATAGCAACCTCTGAAAAGAAGCGTGGTCTAACCAAGGCCCCTTTTTGGGGGGCGTCAGATTTTGTAGTGTTGCGTACATTCTCCGAGGGCGCACGCGAAGGCTTTTTTTTGTTTTGGAAGGGGGGGGGCGCAATTACTATTTCCGCCAGTAAGTACTAGTCCTACTACGACCACGACCCCGACTACTACCACTACTACTGCTACTACTACTACT